CCGAAAACTTTCTACTAGAAATTCACAGTACGTCCGACGAGACGTTCACCCAGAAGAGCAGCTTAATCAGAAGCATAATTCATCCCAAATAGGCAGCAAGTTTCTTGGCAAAGATGGAACATAAAATGGTGCTTCGTGGAAACCTTCCCACAATGGCTTTCTCTTTCCGGACCCCGCTGGTTCTGCTTTCCATCCTGGATCAGTTAGCCTTCTCGATAGCTATAGCGCAGCGACGTTATCTCAAATCAATCCCGCGGTTAACGAGAACAATCGTAGCTTAGACCTCTGTTTCATAAGCGCTCAGGATACGGCTCCATTCATCTCGTCGGCTCCTTCTCCACTCGTAAAGTTCCTCATCATCCTCCTTTGGTTATTACTGTTGAAGACAATCACATTCGGGATCTCGAAGACATCTCCACTACGGTGTCTTACAAGCCGATCATCGTAGCATTGCCGATGTGCTGTCAAGCATTGATTGGGAAAACATACTCGATTCTGATAACGTCGAAACCGCTGCTCAAACTTTTTCACATGTCTTGGCTTATGTCATTGACAGACACGTACCTAAGAGCGTTCACCAAATTGCATCGCACCTCCCTTGGCAGACGAACGAATTGAAGAAGCTGAAATCGATCAAGAGAGCCGCGTTGAGGAAATTCACTAAATATCGAACGATGTCACTGAAACGTCACTACGTTAAGCTCAATTATCAGTTCAAGCGAGTCAGCCGTCAATGCTACTTGCATTATCTGCGAGGGATTCAAAGGAAATTCAAGTCGCACCCGAAGTCTTTCTGGAAGTACGTAAAGGAGCAGCGCAGAGAGTCCGGTCTACCATCATCCATGATATTGAACGGCGAAGTCGCTTCCACTCCACAGGAAGTCTGCCGCCTGTTCTCCAACAACTTTCTCTGACGAGAGCTTAACCAACGAATACGTGACTCTAGCAGCAAGCAACGTTCCACTTTCCGGTCAAGCTCTCGGTGGAATTGTTGTCAACGCTGAAGTGATAACGACTGCCGCACTCAACCCTGGACCGGATGATGTCCCTTCAGTCTTTCTGAAGAAGCATATCGCTAACTTACTGTCACCGCTACAACATCTGTTCCGATTGTCCATATCGTGTGGCATTTTTCCATCGAACTGAAAATTTGCGCAAATGTTCCCTGTGTATAAAAAGGGTAGTAAACGGAACGTGGATAATTATCGTGGAATTACATCGTTGTGCGCAATTTCGAAGTTATTCGAGTTAATCATCATAGAGCCCCTGCTCTCCCATTGCAAGCAGTATCTAAGTGAAGATCAACATGGCTTCACCTCTGGTCGATCTACTACCACGAATCTACTGTGTCTGACATCGTACATCACGCAAAGTATGGTTGAAAGGTCACAAACAGACGTCATCTACACTGACTTGTCTGCTGCCTTCGATAAGATAAATCACGCCATCGCGACCGCCAAATTGGATAGACTTGGGATTAGCGGAAATCTCTTGAGATGGTTTTGCTCATATCTCGCCAATCGTCAGTTGGTGGGGTAGCCCATGGTGACTGAAAGTCCGACATTTTCGCAGCTACGTCAGGAATACCTCAAGGAAGTCATCTGGGACCGTTGATTTTCTTACTCTACTTCAATGACGTGAATTTAGTTATCGAAGGTCCACGACTATCGTATGCAGACGATCTCAAAATCTACTTACGGATCTGCTCGATCGATGATTGTCAATTCCTCCAACGTCAGTTTGAAGCGTTTGCCGTTTACCAGTTATTTTTCACTATGCTCTCCGGGACACCATTATTGAACGTGTGAACCATGTAAAAGATCTAGGTGTCATCCTGGACTCTCAACTTACATATAAGCAACACATCTCGTACGTCGTCGACAAGTCGTCAAGGACATTGGGCTTTATCTTCAGAACAGCTAAGAATTTCTCCGACATCCATTGCCTCAAGTCACTGTATTGTTCCCTGGTACGTTCCATTCTAGAATATTGTTCTGTGGTTTGGAGTCCGAACTACAACAACGGTACTGAGAGAGTCGAGTCCGTTCAACGCCGCTTTCTGCGATACGCGTTGAGAATCTTACCTTGGAGAGACCCGTTTCATTTGCCCAGCTATGAAAGTCGCTGCCAGCTGATCGACTTGGAGCCTCTTCGCACCAGACGAGATACTTCAAAAGCCCTGCTTGTCGCGGACATGTTACATGTTGGAGCAAGTAAATATTAACGTCCAACCCCGAATGCTTCGTAACAATGTTATGCTGAGAATGCCACTACGCAGGACAAACTATGCAATCAACGGTGCAATAGGCGGACTGCAGCGAGTATTTAACCGAGTTTCATCAGTATTCGATTTTCACCTGCCACGACTAACACTTCGGAGACGTTTCTCTTCATTCTTCTCCAGAAATGGAAACAGTCAATGATCATGTTTTAATGTTTTGTAGTTTTAACTTATGACTTTAATTTTAATTTTAAGTTAAACCATCATTGGGACCATATCGAGTCTGTTGATGCTGACAAATAAATAATAAAAAAATAGGACAAGTTGCGGAAAAGCCCATAGTGGCATTTTATATTCTTGCCGACACTTTCAATCCCTTGCGGCTTCCTCCCGAATAAGAGGCGTATTTATTTATTTACTGCAGCCGATCGGATTGTCCAGAAAGATGATAAAGATGATGAAAAATAATGCATCAGTGGAAGGACCGAGACGAGATTTGCCCTAATATGATATGATATGATATGATAAGATCACCGACGAACCGACGTGACAGCTCATAGAATCTGCATTCAAATTCTTGCCCAAGGCGCCATATTTAAAATACGTTAAACACTACCGATATCTACTCATCCCATCGCGTCATATCGTGAGCAAGGACACGAACACACTTAAAATATATATTGACTTAGTTTGCGTCTCACCTCGATTGATAGATCTGATCGCCCGTTTGACAGATCGAATCGCTCATTTGACAAATCGAACTGCGGACAAACGAAACACTCCAGTGGCATGTCGGTTCGTCGGTGATACGATATAGAACCACTCACTGTAGCAAGACAACTGTCGGTAGACTGTGGACTGTCCTCGCTGTTCGACTTGACCAAGTTTAATAACCTCTAATTGTATTCAATCTACTATTGTATGAAGGGCCAAAAACGGTTTGGGTGAATCTGTGGGCAACATCGTCCACGTGCATCCACGTGGTAAATGAGAATCCCCTTCCAACAACAGGATCATACAATCGGTCGAAAAACAGACCATCCGACCGGAGGATGTCCCAGTCAGTGGGGAGAAGAGCCCGCCTCTTCTCGCGAAATGTTAAAGACAGGGAGTTGGCATTTCCACTCTCCCCATCCATTTCGTTTCAATTGGGTGCCCTGGTCAACCCTCCCGTACCCGAATATAATGTTTCATATAGTAATGGAATGAAAGTTAAGAGAAAGATAAAGGAAAGATGTTGCAAAGGAATCCATGACATCATGATGATTTCGAAGAGCTCCCATAGATATGCTGCCGCTGTTTCTTCAACCGGTGTTAAAAACAGCACTCTCGTCTTCCGTTCCTGACACAGCAGCGTAAACCCCCATCACCCACGAGACACACTCTAGCTGCTCCAACTAGAGGGATTTCAGCAGAGAAACTACGTCCACTTTCCATCACCAATCACTCGCGACACAACGGCTTCAGTTTGCCAGTACAAAGTCTGTAAGACGCAGTTCCTCACCGGCCGAATCAACTCGCGAACAACGCTGAAATGAGAACCGACAATTTCAGCGACCGAAAACAAATGCGTCTAATAGCGGCCACGGCATACTTCGATTGCATTTCTGAAACACAACCTCAACGCACAAACATGACGACGACGACAACATTCGACAAGCGCCTTTCGGAAGCGGAACGGCAGCCCGCAGCAAGCAAGAGAAGAAAAAATGCGCACACAGAGCACGGCACGAGCTGAACTGCTAACGTTGAATGTCAAACGCGAACTGACCCGAGATTGTCTCTAATACAAAAGTTTAAATCTGGGTGAAAATTGAGGAAATTTGAGATACGCAGCCTACCGCTATTAGAGGCAATACATTTTTTTTAATCGTCCAAAATGATCACCATCCTTCTGAAAAATCTAGATCTTATGAAAAAAACATGTTTTCTGTTTATCAACATTACTAAACCTACCTCACCCATGGTCGGTTAGTCAAAGTCTGACCCGCATACAAGAAACAGCGAAGTGATGATAACACAAAGGCAAGAAAGACCGTCTTCGTCGTCGTTGTTGTTGTTGTTGTCGTTTGCAGCAGTTCCTCGGTGTTAAAAACAAGCCTCCAAACTGCGCTGCCGCAATGCTCAACGGACGATGGCCGGGTGACGCGTTTCAAGGTCGGCCCCTTCCCGTCTCACCGCCCACCCGCTCAATATGAATATGAATGCGTGCGCAGTTAGTATGAATGTATGCACATCACCACCATGTGCGTGTGACAAACTTGACTTAGCGCTAAGCAGCAGTGGCGAATTGCAGATTAGCGCCTGGTTGCGTTGTTTACGATTTGAAGTCGTTTTATTTTTACCTACACCTTACACAGTGGAAGGAGCGCGGTGGCGTGTTTTAGCCTGCCGTTTGAAGAATCATCATGCAATCGATCTGACACGCTAAACTACGCTGTGCTGAATGCAGTTGCAAATGGCACTGACTATAGTCGTCGTTGCACTTCGAAGAAACACAAACTAGATGGACTTTGTGTAATGATCAGTCAATTGAAACAGGAAGAAGCGGATTTAAACAAAGCAGCTACTATCGCATATACAAAGCATGTAATTGTAATGAACTATTCTGTTAGATTATTTGGAACGACTATTCCTTTCAGTGCGGATTATACCGCTACCCTTCACTTTTTCCATTTCGCTTTTCGTTACTTACCCCCATGATATAAATATAGATCCGCTAAGTAGCAGTGACACAAATAATCCAATTGAAAAATTCCCTTCCCCCTCCTGCTTACAGTATGGCTCAACAAGACGCGTGTCCACAACATCGAAGTGCTGGAGAATGTCCTGGAAAACCGCCCGAAGGGCACTCCCCTGCTGACCGTTTCCAACCATCACTCATGCTTCGACGATCCCGGCATGTGGGGTAAGTACCCTTCGAACCCATCCATGCGAACCACAATAGCTTCCAGAAATGTACCTATACCTTTTTTGGATCTAAATGTGCCAAAATTGTAACACCAACCTTACCTTTGTTGTATACCATTTCATGTATGTGTAAAATCTGCGTGACACACGCCGCAGGACTGCTGAGCCTTCGTAAATTTGTTTTCCTTTACAAAAGCGCGCTAGCGCCAATGGGAACCCGTTAATAATCTCCATATCCTTCATCATTTTAGGGCTGCTGAAGCTGCGCAACGTGTGCAGTCACAACGTCATCCGGTGGTCGATGGCAGCTCATGACATTTGTTTCACCAACAAGTTTCATTCGCTCTTCTTCATGTACGGTAAATGCATCCCGGTCGTGCGGGGCGCCGGCGTCTATCAACCGGCCGTGGATCTGTGCATAGAAAAGCTGAAGCTGGGACATTGGGTGCACGTGTTCCCCGAGGGGAAGGTCAACATGACCAAGGAAGATCTCAGGTAACGAACGTCAGTATTGTCGTAGTTGTGTGACTTGCGAACACTGGGCATCGATTTGTTGTAGGTTCAAGTGGGGCGTAGGACGGATACTCTACGAATCGCCCATTATGCCAATCATCATTCCCATCTGGCACATCGGAATGGAAACGGTGCTTCCGAACGAGCCACCGTACTACTTTAGGCTAGGCAAGAAGCTGACGTACAACTTTGGTAAGCCGATCGATTTGAATGCCGTCATGGAGCGGTTGAAGACGAATCCCGTCACGGAGGAGGAAGCCAGAAAGATCATCACCGATAGGATCCAGGAGGAGATGATGGTGAGTCACTTGATGATGTAATTGGTCGACAGCTGAACTTACGTTAGGATCGCTGGAAAGTTGCGAAGGGGGCTTCCGCAGAAAGTGCGGTGGAATTTTATAAGGTCACCTACCAAGATTGGTGCGGGACCTAGCGACCATTTCTAAACCATTTACGAATCGATCAGATTGTTCCTTATGGGTTGTCATTTAAATTTCTGTTGGAATTTGATCATTTTCACCCTCGCCTCTTTTTTCGAAACAGCTATATTTTTCAATAAATAATTCTCGATGAACATTTCAAATGGTCCTATCTGCTTTGATCGATTCTCTTCATCGACTTTCTCTTTCCATAACCACTGCTATGCAAACAGATTTCGCGCTAATTCTACCATCTAGTTTGATAAAGGAGGTTCTTTTCTAGCGTCCAAAACGTCAAATACAAGAGGGAAAGGTTTTGCAGCTGAGTTATTGACGAAAGAGAAAGTCGATGAAGAGAATCGATCGAAGCAGATAGGACCATTTGAAATGTTCATCGAGAATTGCATGAAAAATTAAATCGAAATGACTCTGAAGAGACAAAGTTGTAGGAAGATATGGTATATGTGTGATATCTAGACCAACAATTGAAATAGGCGGATCAACAAAACGTAAACATTGGCTTTAAACGCCAATTCCTCGAGAATCAAAGCACATCCAATTATTCTAATACCATCACTTCCTTTATCGAAAGCATTGTTAGTTTACGTGGGAGTGTTTTGATTCGCTAGAATTTTGTGTTTAAAGCCATTGTTTACGGTTGGCTGTTCCGCCTATTCAATTGTTGGTCTAGATATGATTTGATTTAAAAAGTGTATACTGTTTTCGAATACGCTATTGTCAAAAATGAGGCAAAAGTCAAAATGGTTGATTTTCAGCACAAATTTGATTTATTGCAGTTTCATGGAAATCGAAAAAGGTCAATTCTGAAATTAGTTTAACTATGGTAAATGTCGGCTTTCGCAAAACACTTATGCCATATTTTTCTTCAAATGAAATATGTTGCTGATTTCGAGTTGCCGATAATAGAACAGCTGGTAAATACGCAGGAAAGGCTGCCGACAATAGTCACACTCACCTGAGAAGTTTACAGCGTTGTAGAAACGCTTTCAAGCAGTTTTGGACAATTCTGTCGATTTGAATGATTGGAATGGATAGAGAAGCAAGCAGCAGATATATTTAAACAAAGAAACACGTCATAAGGGAAATGGCTGTAATGTTGGCCTATGGATCTAAGATTGGGCCCATCGCTAAAAATCTGCTATTTATCAATTTTATCTAGATGAACGGGTCATTGGGACGGTATTAATGGATATTTTTGGTCGCTATTGAAAATTTAGTCGATTGCTGAATTTATGTATGGGCCCAAATCATGGGACATTTAGGCCGACATTACATCCATTTCCCATATGTGTGCGTGACGTTGAGGAGATGTTAATAGAAGCGCGAACGCTGCTTAGATTGACGAGAATACGTAAATTCCCCTATTAAGCCTGGAAAAGTCCCTATTTGTGATAACAGCACCGACAAACCGACATGAAACTTAAACTTAACTTTTGATCGAGAATCCATAACGGCCGATTCAAATGTGCAGCGATCCCATCTGTCAAAACCATAGAAATATTTTATCTAGATAAAAATATTTTGTCTGAAATAGATTAAACACGAACCAACTCATAAATTTTGTACGCGTGTTCGTGACTAGGATAAATATTTTCCGCGGAAATGGCGGCAGATGTCAGCTTTGTGCTTTGATCAGAAATTTCTTTATAATTTGTGTGATCATTCATGTCGGTTTGTCGATGATAACAGCCCAAGTAACCGTAGACACGTAATTTTGCCTTGTTGCCTATGTACAGCTGAACCAGTGTTTGTAAGTTCTGATAAGGCCCGTATATAGCCAAAAGGGATCCCAATAACACGTGATATTGGAATAAAATATCAAGCATGATATTGATTTTACAAGCTCCTTTGCAATTGCGAAACTATTCAAAAATTCCAAATGAATCAAACTCTGAGCGTAGTTTCAATGAAATGCTGATGAGAATTTCAAGAAAATGCAGAAAAGAATTCCAACAAAAATCTGAGGAGCATTCTGAGGAGCCTTGCAATAAAATTTTGCGAAGAATTTCAAGGATATCGAATGCCAAGGACGAGGGGGCGACACATCAAATCTCACACTAGCTAACCAACCTACGAAAAATCTTTTTTCATCTCTTGCATCTAAACCCATGTACTCGCATCGCTCTCCACCTTTTTGCTGAAAATTTTCAAAATAATAATCAATCGTATTTTTATCTATTAAGCGCGAGTGCATCTCACAACAGCAAAGCAAAATATTTCCTGCATCTTAGATAGAGTCGCCCCCCTCGGCTAAGGATGACTCCAAAATGATCTATGGAGAATTCTAAGTCAATTCCTAGGAAAGTTTCAAGCAAGGCGTAAGTCACTCAGCACATTGTGCCACAATTAGATTCGGCACATCCATCGGCATTTGATCTTGTAAATAAAATCTCTTAGGCATTTGATTGTTGTAAATAAAATGGGAGCACTGCTGGTCACTGAAGTTGATCACAACATGACGTGCTGTTTGGCTGTATATTCAGAAACATCTTCTAATTAAATATACCAGAAGAACTCAGACCAGCAGTTCACTTCTCGGTTCACTTAGAGATTTAAATCCGAAATTGCCGCTAGACCGATTTATCCTTGCGATTTCAAAACAAAACATTCAAGGTGTCAGAAATGCCGGGTTGCTGGGATGGGTATTTTACAAACAATCGCAGCTTGCTCTAAGACCGGCACAATCGATACATTAAAAAAAAAAGATGACCCAAGATCAGAGCGTAAAATTATTGACTGCTTAGGCTGAGTGTGAAAGCGCTGCTCTATTCAATGGATCACATCATTCGAGCAGTTTAAAATGACGTTTCCTACCACGCGAATTTTGCCGTGGGATAATATTTTGAAAGTTGTCTTCTAGATTCTCGTGGGAACAGGGTCTTATTTATGCTAAGCTTGAAAATTCAGGAATTTATCACTTCACTTTCTCAAATTCTCTGGTAGGAGGTTGCCTCAAAACAGCTCGACAATATGATTAATTCACTGATCTATCCAGACCGTATGTATAAAACGGTAAAGGACGAGGCAATGAAAGAACCAACAAAAGCATTCAGTCACTCACTCACACCGCTTGCCTTCGCTCACACAGCATGTAATTGAGACATTTTTCCATAGAAAACGTATGCTCAGTCATTCAAAACAATAATTGGGTAAGAATCATTGAACCTGAATGTTTTGCGCACTGCCCAAGATTGGTGTACGGAGTAACCTACCGCTTGGTTTCCAGTGTATTTCTAAGAGAATTCAAAACTGATTCTGAAGACAGTTCAAAGGGAATTCAGAAAACAAATTTAAGCAAATGTTGAAGAAAATTTCATGAAAGTTTGGAAATAGTTCCATGGAAATTTGTAGAATAAAAAAATTATCCCAGAGCGTAAAATGCTCTCGATTCTAAAACAATCCAAGTTGAAGATCTCACAAGTCTCAGTCCCGAAATGTTGAAATCAAGTTGAATCAGGAGAGAGTTTTCTCAAGGAATCGGGTAATCTTGGGATTTTCTCTTGAATTACCTTAAGATTTTCTCATTAACTTTATAGGAATTCTCTCCAGGAAAGCCAATTCTTAGTTAGTACTCCGTTAGTATTCTTCCCAAATTCGCTTGGACCAATAAAAAAATCCTTGGAATGTTCACAAAAAATAATTTAAATTCCCTTGAAAATGTCTTTTGAATTCATTCATATCAATGATTTTGAGCCATGGGATAAAAATCAACTTTATTTGAACCAACTTTTTCGAAGTTTTCTCAAGGAATCTTCTTTCATTTATTTAACGTCGGTATCTGTTCCGCAATCTAGTGCCAATCACCGACGGACATCGATTGCCATCCATTGACGGCAATCGAATGTGCAGGAAGGTAGCTTCCACACCTTCGTAGGATACCGCACCCATTCAATCAAACACTGGGTCGGGACCAACGACTTTACTTCCCTGCCGAAGGAAGACGTGACCAGAGATTTTTATGCCTCAGAAAATTCCCACTGGCCTCGGCTGGGATTGAACCCAGACCCATTGGGGTGAGAAAGCAGTCACGCTTACCAATACACCACCGGCGCCGGTTGTCTCAAGAAATCAAGTAATAATCTTGGCATTTTCTCTCGAATTAGCTCTTGCAAGTTGCAACTATCCCAAAAGTTCCCTTATGCTACGTGAAGCTCTTTGATATTATCCATAAAATTCCCTTGAAATCTTCCTCGTAATACCCCAGAAACAATCTGTAGAATTGAAGATCGCCACATAGAATCCCTTGAAACCATCTTCAGATTCAGAATCCCTTTTAATTGTTATCAGACATCAATTGGAATTAGTGGCACGATGCTTTTGGAATTTTCGTTAGAAATCTTTTGGAAATCTTGTTAGAGTTTCCTCTGAATGTTCATCAGAATTTCTCCGGAATTATCACCAGAATTATTTAAGGAGCTCCCGACTACACAGCCCTTGAATTATCTCCAAAACTCCGTTGAAATTTCCCTCAAAATCTCGATGACATTTTGACATTCTCCTGGAATCCAAATCCCCGTGGAATTCTCCTCACTAATCTCCTCTTGGTTTGCTATCCAAAAATTAATATAGTTGAAGATGCTAATTTCAAATAACAGACTAAAGTGGTAATTTTTACACTATAGATGAGGAGATGAAAGTATAGAGTTGATAGTTCCGTTAGAGTTCGGCAGTGTGAAAATGGTATATAGAGAGTAGAAAGCGAGCAAGGAAAACTTTTAGGAAGGTACAAATCGGGTTGATCATCTCTCTTTACCAAACTCCCCCGTTGGATACGGATGGTGAGGGGTATTCCCCCCGCCGTCCCTCTCCAACGGGGGAGTTTGGTAAAGAGAGATGATCAACCCGATTTGTACCTTCCT